GTGTAACTAAAGCCTTGCCTCATTTCAAAAGAGACAATGAGTATTTCACTCATTTCAAAAGAGACAGTGCTTACCCAAGTGTCCATCTTTCCCACTGGAAAAAGTCCCCAGGAAAAAGCAGAGAAAAAACAAACAAACCTCCCCTTACTTTCCAAGTCTTCACATCTCTAGCTACATTCAGAACAAAAGGGAATCAAGGGCTTCAAAAGGGAATTAGATAAGCATATGGAGCAGAGGTCCATCAGTGGCTATTAGCCACAAGGTATAGATAGGGACTCTGGGGCAAGGGATGCTCTGTCTTCTTGGTGCTTGGGGGGGGTCAACAGTGGGAGGGCTTCTAATGTCCTGGCCCCACTGGTGGACCTCCTGATGGCACCTGGTATTTCTTGCCACTGTGTGATACAGAGTGTTGGACTGGATGGGCCTTTGGCCTGATCCAACATTGGTGTCTCTTATGTTCTTATGTTCTTAACAAGGATGGGGATGCTGCTGAGGCAGAGTGCCACTGGCAATCACGGTTCCATTGAAAACGTCTGACCTCACCATTCTTTGGTGCTTGCTTTGGGCAGGGTTTTTTTAAAAAATGTAAGGAACAGATAAGAATACAGCAACTGCATCCATCCTTCTCTTCGGTTCCAACTAAGAACAAGAATTATGCCAGACTTCTTATTAGTTTGTATCCCACCCATCAACTGTATAGGCTTCCAAGTGGCTTCACAAAAACCATAGAAGTCCTTAACACCCATAATCAAAACTGCACAACTAGGAGGGCCGTAGCTAGGAATTTTTCGAGAGGGGGCTCCAGGGGCTAATTAAATTAAATTACATTTATGCATCTCTGGAACAGTGTTCAGGCCTCCCAGGGCTGGGGGCAGCCTAGCCTGGCCTTGGTTGGTTTGCCTTGTCGGGGAAATCAGCAGTGGGCCCTGCAGGGCATGGCCAGGTGGGGGGGGAGGGAGGGAGGCACCCAGAAGACAGAAGCTGTGCTTTTGGCTGCTGCTGCTGCCCCTGCCACTGCTGCACCTTGGGAGGCTGCCATCTCCGAGGGCCCAGTCCTTCTGACTCTGCATGGCATGTGCCGTGGCTGCCTGGAGGGAGCTTTTACCTTGCAGCTCAGGGGTCCTGCCTCGGGGGTTCACCATGGCCCAGACCCACATGCAGCCATTGGCTGGGAAGAGAGGGCCTGGCTCTGGGTTGCACAGTGGAAGCTGGATAGGGTTCCCAAATCGGCCCGGGGAGTGGGGCCCCTCAAATGGTATGGCCCCGCCCCCAGCGTGCGACGTCACTTCCGGGTGACGCGCACGTGGCACGCTTTGACGGCCCGATTTTCGACGGGACGAAAATTAGGCCTGGGGGAAAACCCACCCCCGTGTGTGCGTCACCCGGAAGTGACGTCGCACGCTGGGGGTGGGGTGACGCCATTTGAGGGGGAAACAAAGAGTTTCCCCCTCAAATGGAATGGCCCCGCCCCAGTGCCAGTAAAAGGCAGAAGAGGCAAGGCCCTTTCCAGGGCTGTTTTGGCCTTTGAACGACTCATAGGGGCCAGCCCAGTAGTAACAACCAAACAACCTGATACCATGTAACCTGCATGACTCACCCAGGACTGGCTGCTTGCTACCAGCAACCATACCACAAAAGCCAGTGTGGTGTAGGATCTAGGAGACCAAGGTTCGAATCACCACTGCCATGGAAGCTCACTAGGTGATCTAAGGCTAGTTATACATTCTCAGCCTAACCTAC